GTTTTTATTAAATTTTCTAAATTTATCCGTGTGAAGCGGAATGTATGGAACCGTAAGCCAAGAGGTAGTTTCATTCATACAGACATTGTCAATCAAAACATTATGTACTTTGTATCTATTTTTAATCAAATTTTTAATCCGTTGATTAATAGAGTAAAAAATGAGGTTCAGTGGATAGTCATTCTCTAGTAAAATATTAATAATGAAAGTCAGATTTTTTGTGTAAAACGTACCGTTAGATAATAAAAAAGTTCTGTCAATTAACGAAAAAATGATGCCTTTTTTCTGTGTCAATGGATGATTGGAATAAAAGTTTAGAAACCTACCTGAGAACGTTGGCTTACGGTACCAATCAAAATTGAAACGATTATTGTTGACAGATACGGTGATGTCAAGGAAATTCATTGTATCTCCCCCTCTTTCGACAGTAAACTGAAGGCGCGGATGGAAAGAATTAAATTGTTCTAATAAAATGTCGATTTGTGAGGGAGACACTGCAATACATATATCATCAACGTATCTGTAATAAAACAAGATGTCAAAATTCAAAATTTTAATTCTGTATTTATTTCTGTTAACATCTGAAGAGGGCTCAATCCGGCAGCCGAAACTTGTAATGTATTCGTTCTCCGTTTATTATATCTTATTATACGTCTTTTCTTCATTTTTAACTTTTTTTGTATCTTTGATTTATGTCTTTCATTATGTATAGAAGATTATGTTCTAAAATTTATCATTCAAAATATTCTATAACAAATAAGAATGAAGAACGTTTTCGAAAAATTAAATAGAAAAACAATATAATATATAATAAGACCGTATATGTGATAACATAAACTATAGAAATCGAAACCTTAAATGATCTAGCTGGATCTTAAATGCTTAAATGCTAGTACTACTAAATATTGAGTGGATCCATGTATTCGTTCGGTTTTTGAAGGCTAAAATTTTTTTGAAAGTAAAATTTTTGAAGGCAACCAGAACCGGAGATACTCGGAAAAAATTTTCACTACTAACAAAAACCGAACGAATATATGGATCCACCTAATAGTATACTAAATATATACTACTAAATAGAAAAATTTTTTGTAAATTTTTATTTCAAGTTTTTGAGATATAACTATTTAAATAGGGCCAATTACAAACTACGTTTAGATTGTCACCTATGATTAATAGTAAGCACGTTGAAGTGAGCACTCACCAGCGCTCACTAATCTACCACACGCACAGTTGATGGACAGACCGTTTAAACGTAGTAATAAGCCATATTTCAACTCTTATATTATCTCAAAGATTACTGCTTAAAATAAAAATTTATAAATAATTTTTTTATTTAATTTTTCGAAAACTTTCTTGCTATAGTATTTTGATTCGTAAATTTTAAGACACCCTGTATATTTATTGAAGTTGCAAATATAATGTTTATATATTACCAACACATTCCGTTGTGAGGCCTGGTTGTTCCACCTTTTCGTAAATTTTACCTGTTAGATAAATCTGGCAATCCATGTATGTGATTGGGTAATCTTGCTACTTACCCAACAGATAAAATTTATCAAAAGGTGGAACAACCGGCCCTAAGTGTCATAATTGATTCCTCGTTATCTTCGTTATTGGTATTTTCATTAGAAATTATGACATTGTTATTGCATATTTCTGAAACCATATTTTAGTAATGTGGTTATTCATAACAAACATGATGCAAATAGATCGTTTTGTATTACGTAATTTGTCGAATTCATAAATATGTTTCACGATATATACAACAAATTATATTATATTATTAAAAATAACTAATTTTATATGAAAATAGTGCATATAGCACACCGTAAAATCATTATTGAAACATAAATTGTGTCACAGTTTTCAGAAATATTATTTAAAGCAAAACAAGACTGTTTTTTTCAATACCTTTGTTTAAAAGTATTATAAAAAATTATTATCAGATTTTTAAGGATGTGTTCCGATATTCACTGCCAGTGCTGAAATTACACAGTATATGTTACGTGCGTTAGAGATTTTCAGCACTGGCAGTGAATATCGGAACGCACCTAAATATTCTGTGACGGCAAATGTTCTGAAAACGTTTCGTGATTGAATGTATATTATTACCGTTAATTTGACCGTTGTCCTCCAAAAGACAGGCATTTGCATGCTAAATTTCTTCATCCTCCATCCTCATCTTCATTCTCTACCTTAACTTCATTCACATTCTCACTCAATAACTTCCTCTTACGTGCATTTTTTTGGTCTAAAAATTGCAAACAGGTATATTATTTTTACGCGTTTTTAATTAACAAATATATATACTGTTACGTTCAAACCCTTAAAATTTAATGAGACAAGGAGGGAAAATGGAGAGAGTATGGAAGGACGGCTAGACTCAATCTCGCAGGTATACGCGGAAAGGCGAACACCTATGAGTCGCACGCACCTTTTCGATCCCGGAATATAGGTCAACGTTCCGAAAGGACGCTGTGACACCTGTTCCGAGGGACAGTGCGAACGTCGGTCCTATTTTTTGAGTCAACTTAATCTTTTTGACCCGGGACTGGACCTCGTGCGATCTCAAGAATTAGAGGGAATAATGAAGCGAGAGATAACTTAAAAAAAAGTGGAAGCTAGCGATTTTTAATTAACAATTAGCTTACATTTATTTGAGTAATGTTATTGAGCTTACAGACATTATGTAAAATAAAATAAAAATATCATTATTATTTAGTAGTTGTGTTTGTGTGCGTGTCAGGAGAGACAGGAGAAAAGGAGAAAGGGATTATTGCGGATTAGAGGCGAGGAAGGTAGTGCAGGAGCACAGGGAACGAGGTGCTTGTACTGGACTGTATAAGAAGTGGGTTTCCAGGAATATAGACTGTCACCAGTCTATCTCCCTCATTGGTAAAGGAGGAATACAGACGGAAAAGCCGATCCCAGTCGATCGGCGCGGGATCCGGTTGGAATGGAGGAGGCGGAAGCGGGAGAGGGAATCGCTCTTTGAGGAAAGGAGGGAGAGGAATTCGGTTCTCGAGAGGAGGAGGGGGAGGGAAACGCTCCTCGAGGGGAATAGTTCAGGATTTCCCTGATAATAGGATCAAGTACGGGGAGGGGGGGAGGGGAGGGAGCTTAGGTCAAAGGGTTCCGGTCGGTCGTTGACTGGCGAGTATATTTCCAAAAAGTCGTCGGTCGGTACGCTTTGTGCTGAAATAGTGCTGGAATAGGCCCCGCCTATTGCTCCAAATGTAAGGGGTTCGCCCCTTTTTTGCGTTACGGACGCGCACTACTATATACCGAAGAATTAAAAATAATTATATGCTTGTGTACACGCATGTGTGTGTGTGTGTGTGTGTGCGTGTGTGTGTGCGCGCGCGCGCGTGTGTGTGTGTGTGGGCGCGCATGTGTGTGTACGTGTGTTACGGGGAGGGCGCGCGTGCATGCACGGAAGGAATAACAAACCGACTTACTTCCGGTGGTTGATCCACGGGATCCCGGATTGACGTTACTCGATGATCAGGCCCGCTGTCCACGCAAGAGCGCCAAAAGGGTGGTCCAGTGATTGATGACTAAATGAGAGCACAAGGCGTATGACGATAGAGTGGACGAGCACTGAGATGCGCGACAACAAAGCACTAGTTTTCTTTTACGAACTGGCGCGAGCAGGGTGAATGTAACATAAACTGACTTCCTCGACTCTCGTACTGATTAAACTCTGCGCTTCCGTGGGATCTCTATTTATACCCCGAAAAAAGGGCGTAGTGTCCTTTGTCTAGGATCCAATAGTTAGTTGCAATGTCACGCGAGATTTCTGATTTTTATAGCGTCCTATCGTTGTTAATCTAAAGTGCATCATTGAAGAGGTTTTGAGAAGAAAAAAAATGATTTACGTTTTTCTCTAAAAAGGCAAGATTGCTCCAGACGGATTTGTTATTCTCGCGGAAAATGTGATTAGGTAAACAGGCGGTTACCGTGCACAACTAGTTTTACGTGCAGGACAACCGTTGTCAGTCGCTAGTCCGATCTTAGATAACGCTACGTCGATCTTAGATAACGCTACGCCGTGGAAAGTTATCCCATGCGTTTTATGTTTTTTTTTAAACGCGACGTGGCGCCTGTTTTCCTAAGATGAAATTGTTGGTCAGCCTGGGACGACAAAGCTTGGATTTTTATTATCGCTTCGGTATATTTATGATCTTTTGTAATCTTATCACTTTTTCGGGCCCGCATTAAAGTTGTTATTCCGGGTTGATTGGCATTTACGAGTTTCGCGGAGTCCGTTCGGTCCCTCTTTTCAGATCTGTCAAACCATTATCAGCGGGCTCCACTCGAATCTCATAGGCGCCGACCGTAGTCGCGATGTAGAGCCGACTCTTCCGAAAGAAAAGAATCGTAACGTCTCTATAGGACGCATAATATAACACAAAATATAAACTATTAAATATCTTTTATAGTCGCAATTTTCTTGCAAATGTAGTCTTTGTATTTGTCTATTTCAATCACTGTTTCGATTTCATGCATTTTTTTTTCTTCTAAAAGCCAATGTCTGAATATGCTGAAATGAATACGAAAGCATAATTTGACATACATAGTTAATCTATCTATCTATGATACATATGAGATCTATTTATAAAATAATAATAACAAAGATATTCGATGCTAATGAAAATGAGAATTAGCGCGGGAGAGAGTGCGCACAATTATTAAAATTGGAAAATCACTTCACTTCATTTGAAGTAATTTTCTAATTTTAATAATTTTGCGCATCCTCTGCCGCACTAACTCTTATCAACTTTAAATGTCTTTGTTATTATTATTTTGATGAGTATTTATATTTCTATCTATTTATAAATGAATATATCTTTCACTGCCATCACTTTTGTGATATCAAGTTGTTTTGGTATTCTGTTTTTTTTTCTTTCTTTGTCGCAGATAATGTCAATTCAAGGAAGGTCTTACGAGAAAATAAAATTACCAATAAATCGTCCACGAAAATATTTAGTGTATTCGAATCAATGATAAGCATAACTCTCCTTCGCTATCCATACATCATGTCCCAAATGAATCTGTAAATTTTAAATATAAAATACTTTCGTATTAGATACACATTTCTGTGAGCATCAAAGAAAACATTCATAAGATTTCGACTGCCATCGCAGTAAAACAAATATTATTTAGTCCACAACAAAAAAGTATTGATAGTGATAGAATACTTTTAAAAATATTAAAAAATATTTTTAAAAAATCTCTCTTAAAATATTATAAAAAATGATGATCAGATTTCTGAATATCTTGTGACAGCAAATATTCTGAAAACATTTTATGGTCGAATGTATATAATTTTCTATCACTATCAATATTTTTTGCCATTTTCTATCACTATATGTTATTTCTATTGTCATTTTCTATCACTATCAATATTTTTTTTAATACATTAAAAAAACGTACTGTTTTGTCTTTTAATTTTATAATTCATCTTATTTGTACAATTTAGATTGTAATTTTCCATGTTTTTAAAAATACAAATCAATATCTGTGGTTTTACTTCTGAAAGTAGTATATTGGAACAAAAAACTTTTGGAAATGACTTTACCCTTACGTGAATTTGTAATAAAAATATAATGTAAATTTTACTAACTATAAATAAGTATTTATATACATATGTATATAGATAACATTATGTTATAATTTGATTACGAATGGTCATTAGATATTTGCTTATTAACAAGGATAATTTGTGTGTGTGTGTGTGTGACCATCAGTTACTAATTAATGGATAAATCATAATATTGGAAACAGGGACTCATCAACGGAAAAATCAAAATATATGTAAAAAAATCATATACAACACTACGTTTCAGTTTTGTAACAATATAATAACATTTCAAATACAAAAATTATCTTGTTTCATCGTTAGCGATAATTTTAGCATAGATTTAAATAATTATACATTATAATAATAATAAATGTTAATCTAAATTTAGTTGAAGGTCTTATGAGTTTTGAAATGTCCTTTTTTTAGTGTAATTGGATAATAAACAGTTTATACTTTTGTAATAGTTTGTAATAGTTTTGTAATAATTTACATTCCCAATGGGGAGAAAATGTTTTCTAAACGTTTTTTATAATAAATGTTTATTGTTCATTAATTTTACTTTCATGATTCGTTTTCAAAATAACATTTATTTAACGTTTATTTAATGTTTTTTAAACGTTTATTTATAATTAATTTTATGTTTTATGATTCATGTCCAAAATAACATTTTTTTAAACGTTTATTAACGTAATTTTACACTAATTTTTTATTCACAATGATATTCTAAAGAAATATTTTTTAAATGTTTATTTAAACGTTTATCAAACGTGTTTTTTTTACATTAAGTGTTTATTTAAGATAATGGCTTGAAGAAACATGTTCTAAACATTTATCTCATGTTGAACTATTATACTATATTATGTCGCAATGAAGAGGAAATGTTTTTTAAACGTTTTTTTTTATTAATTTTACATTTCACAATTTGTTTTCAGGATAACATTTATTTAATGTTCATTTAATGTTTTTTAAATGTTTATTCGTAATAAATTTTACGTTTTATGATTCGTTTTTAAAATAAAATTTTTTTTACGTTTATTTAACGTTTTTTAAATGTTCGTTTTACATTAATTTTTTATTTGAAATAATGATTTAATAGAATATTCTTAAACGTTAAATATATTTGACGTTTGTTAAATGATCGTTTTACATTAAGTTTTCGTTTGAAATAATGTTTCAAAGGAAGACTTTTTTAAACATTTGTTTGAAGTCTATTCTATAATGCGCTCATTGTTTTCTGTTTCTTGCTTTTTTCTTTTTTGCAACCGTTTTATTGACAATTATATTTCTTGCTACGTATTTCTTGTTTCTTTCAAAGTTCGTTAATTTTTATCTCGGGTGACATAAAACGAAAAACCGAATAAGAAACAAGAAAACAAGATGTAAAAAATAGTAAAAAGTAACAAGAAACAAAAAGTACATAGAATAGGCTTTACGTTTATTAAATGTTTGTTTTACGTTATTTATTTAATATAAAAGTTTAATATAAAAGTTAAAAAAATTGTATTATTTTCTAAAATTCAAATAAATAAAAAACGGGTCGGAATAAAAAAAATACACGGAAGAGAAGTTAACCCAACATAATTGCGTTAAGTATATCATTTATGGACAATAAGAATTGTGTCCATCGACAATTATTGTATAAGTAGCGTAACGGATAAGATATGAGACTCATAATCCTGAGATCCCAAGTTTAAAACCCGGTAAATAAAAAAGATAAAAAATATAATTAAAAATTAGTATTAATTAATAAAATTGGTTGTCTAAAATTAAATGTACTGTCGATAAAAAATAATAATATTACAAAAGATAAATACAAAAGATCTGCATTGTACAATATTTTTTCTAATTTTGTTCAAATAATTTTAACATTAAAAAAACGTTATTTAAACGTTTGAATAAACGTTTTTTTTTAATGAAAAAAGGGGACTTTTCTCGCTATTTTAAACGTTTTTAAAAACATTTTAAAAAATGTTTTTTTAAACATTTTTTTCCTTATTGGGTTATTGACATATGAAATTTTGTAGCTCGACTTACTGATAGTTAATTTAATTAAGTCCTGATGAAAATAAAAATCAGAAAAGCAACAGAAGCGAAACTTCTAGAAGGCGAAAATTGGAACAATGAAATGCATTTACGCTTCTTTCACATTTTGATGTTTCTCTTCTTTTGTTACTCTCCCCTTACATCCAATTTACGCTCTGATTTTTATTTTCATCAGGGAGTTATTACTATAAATATTGTATACCTTGTCAGTGATGTATCCTACTGGTATTTTACCATTAAGAAATATGTTTCCGGCTTTTTTGATGTTTTCTATTGAAGCTAGAACACAAAAATACATGAAAAATATATTCATTTTGATTTCTATAAGAATCATAAACACATATAGTAAATGCAATTGCATTTTTTTATTTTATTTTATTATATACTATTAATATTATATATATTATTAACACAGTGTTGAAGCTCTTTATTCAATTTCCTTATTTTTTCCAAATCGTTGTTTACATCTGTTGCGTTAACTGTTTCTTCTTTTCTTTCCCTTGTGCATTCTTTTTGAAATTTAATTTCATGATTTTCAAGTTCACTCTTTAAAAAATAAATTTGTGCCTTATAAGTGTTCACATTTTCGAATTTTGACATTTCTAATTTATAATTTGTATCTTTCTAAAACATTATTTTTATTAATATTACATTTAAGAAATAATATATTTCGTACTAAATTTACAAATCTTACTTCATAATGCTGTAAAATTTCAATGTCCGATTGAAGAAAATTTATTGAACTTTTATCGCTTTATTATTATTATTATTATTAGGCGTTAGGAACTCGAAAGCTCATTGCCGCAAATACCAAATCCCGCCACTGTTCCCGTCCCTGAGCCAGATCCCTCCATTTGTGACTTTTATATCCCTCCATTGTGACTTTTATCGCTTACGTCTTTTTTTTATATTACTGTTTTCCATCGATTGCATTGTACTAATTATGCCGATTATGCAATTTCTGTAATACTTTCATCTATAAACATTCAGTTTTATGTTATTCAGTTCAGTTTATTGCTTATTGTATTGTTAATGCAAATATCGCCGTATAATACAAGAATGTAAGTACAAAAAATAGTTATGAGAATTAATATGTAAAGAAGTAAACATGTTAAGTGTAATTATTTCCATTACTACATTTTTACTTTAGTTTTTCTTGAGAAGCATAAGTGTTTATGCTGTTTCTATCTTCCGTTGAAGAGCTCTCAGATGAAGAAATAAATAACAATAAATAAAGGGCAAAGTAAGAGTCAACACATTTCTTTAAAAAACAAGTCATCTAATTAAAAGAATAAATTAAAAATAAAGAAAAATAAAATTGAAGAAATTATATAATAAAAAATAATAAAAAATGAAAAATAAATAAATAAAAATTCAAATACAAATTACAAGTTTTGGCTACCGGATTGAGCCCTCTTCAGACATATCGAAAAAACCATAGTACAAAATAATAGACTATTCCTAAAACGGATAGTTACATTAAAAATAACTTTCAATTAGTTGAAAAATTAAAAAGATTACACATTACAGGTGAACATAAATTAATTTCATTAGATGTTACATCACTTTTTACGAATGTTCCAATGGAGATAGCGGTCGATTGTGTGAATGAGCAATGGAATTTTATCTCCAAGGATTGCTCTCTGTCTAAGAATGAGTTTTTGGGAGCGATACGGTTTGTCCTAGATTCCACCTTTTTTCATTTGATAATAGAATTTATAAACAAAGCTTCGGCACTCCCATAAGCTCTCCTTTATCCCCTGTAATAACGGACCTAGTAATGAAGAGATTAGAGACGGTGTCCTTGATGTCGTTAAATTTTATTTTATTATAGATATGTTGATGACATTTGTACCGCGGTTTCTCCCTCTAAAATTAATATTTTACTACAACAATTTAATTCATTTCATCCGCGTCTCCAATTCACTACAGAAATAGGGGGATACAGAAATAGGGATAAAATAAATTTTCTGGACATCACTATATCTATCAACAGGAATCGTTTTATTTTTGATTGGTACCGTAAGTTTTTCAAGGAGGTTTTTAAATTTCAACTCAAATCATTCTATTGCACAGAAAAAAGGTACAATTTTTTCGCTAGTTGACAGAGCTTTTTTACTTTCTGATTTTATGTTTCATACAAAAAATTTGACATTTATTATTAACATTTTACTTGATAATGACTACTCATTGACTTTTATTTTTGATACAGTTAATCAACGTATAAAAAAATTTAATTAAAAATAGACACATAAAGGCGCATAAAGATTTGGTTGACAATGTCTGTGCGAACAAATCCGCATCTTGGCTTACGGTATTCATTCCATTTATTCCTCTTCACACTGAAAAATTTAAGCGATCCAATCCAAAAACGACATCTTTCCATAGTCCTAATGAAATGGGTAAATATATTGAAGTACAAAAGGATATTTGTCCCCATACATCTAAAAGCAATGTAGTCTATAAGATATTGTGTAATAATTATGATGCGTCGTATGTTGGACAGACGGGCAGACAATTAAAAACCAGAATTACAGAACATCGTAATCATAATAGATATAATACTTCTGTCCGTTCTGTCATAACGGAGTACAGGCTACAGCATGATCACGATTTCCAATGGGATGAAGTTGAGATTTTGGATGAAGAGTCTTGCTATAGGAAACGTTTGGTTTCCGAGATGCTTAATATCAGGAAGCAGAAGAATGGTCTTAATTTACAAAGTGACACTGAAGGTCTTCACAAGGCTTATATTTCCATCATAAATAAAGTTTGACTTTTTAATACTGACGATCCGTCTCTCTTCTCTCAGTCTGTGGTGATCCGCACTACCGAACGTACATAATAATCGACACATAATGTTTGTCTTACACATCTGCGTTCCTTCTTTCTGTATATATTCCAAAAGTTTTTTATTCTTTTATGGACACGCTCGTTTGAATATTTTATACATGATTTCTGGTGAGTTTTTATTTTTTATTAGATTTCCGGTATGCTAATTTATTTACGTGGATATTTTTTTGTAAGAAGTTTTTATTTTATCTTTTTTATCAACTAGAGCTTTGCTAAGATATTTTTAATACATTTCACTGTTCAATCATATGGAAATAATGTCGAACTCTACATCAAGACTCACCCGAACTGTGAATGTAATGAATATGCGATCATTTGCGATAATTGATTTTGTACTACGATTTTTTCGTTATGTTAATGTCTGAAGAGAGCTCAATCCGGTAGCCGAAACTTGTAACTTTTTATTATTATTTTTTTATTTTTAATTTTATTTTTGCTTTATGTAATTTTACCTCTTGTTAATTATAATATATTCTTTGGTTAATTTTAAAGAA